TTGGTGAGCAGAAGAGAATTCTTAAAAAAAAAAAAAAGCAACATTAAAAATCTTACTGTTCAAAAACTTTTGACTGGTAGTGTAGGATGATTATTCTTATAGATTGAAACAAATTTGCTTTAGCCAGTACAAAGAGTATGAAAAGTGCTCGGAGTTGCTGCAGAAAACAAAAAAATTGAACAACAACAAAAACTGGAAATGTTGCTGGAGACGGGCTTCTTGAAAATGCAAATTCATTCTCTGCCAGCAGGAGGCACTTTTAGAGAGATAAAACTAGCGGTTTCCCTGGTAACAGCTGTAATCAAATCAGCTCCGCTCACGAATGCTACTTTATCAGATCAAATGAAAATGCCATCGAAACTTTTCTGAAGACAGTCGGTTTCCTTCAGAGATACATTCATATAAAACACCCGCGCCGTGTTATGATTTTGAAACGTGCAGTGCTCATGTTTATTCAACGAAATCAAACGCCACAAATAAATCAATGTATGGGAAACATCATATCAAAAATCATATCACCGTTATAGAAAACAATTATATCGTGATACATATTGATATTGAATTATTGTCCAGCCCTAGCTGTAAATATAGCTATATATTAATACTGTAAAGTTCTCAGTAGTTCTAGTCTTTACTCTAAATCAGAGGTTCCCAGACCATTTCAATAATTTGTTTTTGACTAATGGAATGGTCTATGACACACTTAGTACTATGTGAAAAATATATATATACAAGTAATACCCACCAACAAACTTTTAAATTAAATTACAGAACATATATTTTTCATATTTGACCTAGCATGATGCATCACCATTCTCACACTTTCCACAATTTGAAATCTGCTGGAATGTTTCCGATGATGCCATAGAAAAAAAACTTCTGAATTTTCAATTATATCATAGGCGTATGAAGCCACTAAAAGGTCATGGGGATGGAAAATTAAAAAAAAGTTGTTCACTTGCAAAAGTTGTGTTAGTAACTTTTGGTGTCTGAAAAATTCAATTCAAAATTGAAAAAATCAGATTCCCTGTGAAATACATGTTCATTCACAGTCATTTTGCTGGTTGAAATATGCATAAATAAAATAAAGACACAATAAATAAATAAACAATGAAATGAATGAATAAATAAATCCTTGTCGTTTAATGAGAAACGTAAACGTAAAAAAAACCATGAATTCGCTACGTCCCCGAATTGGTTGCCTTGCGGAAGTGCGTCACAGTGTTTACAACTCGAACGGATACGGGTTATATGTAGGCAGCAGCGTAGCCACAAATTCCCTAGCGTGATTTACAGATTTACGAGCAGTGTCTGTTTTATCTGCTTATGTTTTGTATTAATGTGTCACGTGCGCAGCGAACAAGGTATCTATTCATAACTGCAAATTCACGTCACTGCACAGAAATAAAGTCACGAGTGCCAGTGCACCCTCTAGGTAGGATATATATATATATATAGGTTAAGACATGTGAAAATAATGTTGTATTGATTTTTTTTTTTAATAGTTGATCTTTAGTTACAGCTGAATATCTAAACAAACGTAAAATACCACAGACCTGACGTATTTTGTGGACATTAAATACATATTTATTTTAATATTTATGCAAACATTACAACGTTTAAATGCAATATCAAATATATGATCAAAATCTAGTTAGTCAAGATAATGTATCTCAAGAAGGCTACTTTGGCACTGTTGATGAAGTAACGCTGTGTTGTATGTCACTGGAGTGTCCACACCTCTTTTGTACAGATGGAAGTCAATGATGGACTGCCAGTACGGGGAAGTGCATTTAAAGTGAACAGCCTCTCCGGCTGAATAGGTGTAGAAGCGAGACTGAATTGACAAGGTTGGGGCTAGAAGTTTTCCTGGTTGGAGAAAAAATTATGAACCACTACAAACAAACACAGGTTGCGTAAAACAAAATACAAATCTTTCGGAGTGTCCACACCTCTTTTGTACAGATGGAAGTCAATGACGGACTGCCAGTACGGGGAAGTGCATTTAAAGTGAACAGCCTCTCCGGCTGAATAGGTGTAGAAGCGAGACTGAATTGACAAGGTTGGGGCTAGAAGTTTTCCTGGTTGGAGAAAAAATTATAAACCACTACAAACAAACACAGGTTGCGTAAAACAAAATACAAATCTTTCAAACGCTCTCATACCTGTGCACTCCACTCCAGCATCCTCACTGTGCATACACACGTCATCATTGAGGGAGCGTTCACACAGATCCAGGGCAAACTCGTCACCCGAGCATTTCACATTCCTCCACAGCACCTCTCCACCGGCCCGTCCGAAACGAGCGCCACCTGGAATGTCCAACACAAAGCCGCAGTCGAGCTCTCTACAAACCACTGCGGCATCCTCCAGATCCCAACCATGCTGGCACACAGTGCCCCACTGGTGCCCATAACGCACCTCCACTCTACCCGAGCACCGCTCACCCGGTTTTTCATTCACAAGCCTGGTGATCGGGTCGTCTGTGGAAATAATGGGAACGAACCAGTGTTATTATCCTTAGCTGAAACTAAAATTGCAAGAAAAAAAAGAAATAATACTACAATTAAGAGAAATACTACAACTATTGAAAATGAAACTTAAAATTATAATTTGAAATATTGAAATAAAAGCTAAATAGTATTATAAAACCCCCAAAAACGAATAAAGCAAATGACAAAATTACTAAAACTGAAATGAAAACAGAAAATGTAAAAATAAAACCCAATTCAAAATATCAATTAATACTATAATTTCAAATTCATATTTTAAGATTGATCAGTGGCTTAGAATAGGGCTTCTCAAACTTCCATTCACAGAATGTTTGACAGAAAAAAAGTACATTTAAAATGTTTTTCTAATATTGAATAGATTAGTTTTTTTTTATTATAGAATATATATATATATATATATATATATGCTTATATAATATATATGCTTTTGTATTTTTGGAAGGGGACCATCACATTTGGGAGTCCTTGAAATATAATAGTTTGAAAACCCCAAGATGTAGACAACAACATAAAGTCAATAACTCACCAAAGGCATGAACATCTTCAACAGCAACAGTGCATCCTGTTAAAAATGACAATAGTTAAGGGTACGTTCAAATATTTACATATTCATTCTAAAATTAAGAAACATTTAGCATGTTTTTAGGCTTTTTGGTTATCTGCAATTATACATGTTTCAAATGTACTATGGTTGCAGTTGCTGACAATGTTCAGTTCTCCTTAAAAAAAATATATATATATACTTTTTTTTTTAATAAGAGAAAAAATATACATAATACATTTTACTAACCAAGCATTACCAGGCCCAGAAGAATCCTCGACATTGTAGATTTCCCATGTAATGCAAGTGCCAGGGCTTTAGGCTAATTTAATAACTAAATGTCTCTAACTAAATGTCAGCAATCCAAAAGCTGACGGTTCCAGTGTGACTGCGAGGAGGACCAGGAGCAAGACGATGCATAGCACTTCAGTCTCCTCAGCTAGCTAGCTAGCTAGCTAACTAGCACTTCTGAATGCCTATACTCTTTCTGTTCGCCTCCATGTGATTTATACAAATGCATTATCTATCATAACTCATGCTTAAAAGCATAATAGTCGATAAATGCAAATAGCACATAACAATGTAGACACAAAAGCTGTAGAATCGAACGGCTAATATGCTAGCGTTGTTGCCCTAAAGTAAAGAGAGTTATTCGTAGAGCGAGATAAAAGAAATAACGTTGTATTTACAAAGCATTATCGAATAAATCTGTAGTTAGTCATGCTTTGTGAGTTGGTGTTCCCACAAAGAGCGTCATAATGCAGTCTGCGAATCGTGAACGAATCAATCTTTTGAATCGGATCTTTTCGCTAAAAAAAACTTTCCGAACAAACTGAATCAACAGAGCGAAACAACTCACAAGAGCATTTGCAGTGAAGCGAGGATTTGACTGATGGTGAGAAAAGTTACTTTTTACTGTACGTCTAAATTTTGTACCGCGAGTTTGTTTTCATAAATGACTTATTAAATTACAGCTAATATGTAAACACCAAAAACTGTTATTCAGGCTAGATTTAAATGAATGTTAAACGCAGATTCTATCTCGCTTCTAAATGACTCAATCTCATTAGCTGAAACATGGCAAATGACACATTAAATTACATAAACACCCTTATTAATAAACAGCATGTATTGAATGTAACTGGCCACCAGGGTGTCCAGGACTACGTGATGACGTATACGTCGGATGCACAAGAATCACGGAATTGTCTTTTTAACTGATTCTTTGGAATGAACCGTTCATATGAGTCGATTCGAAGTAATGAGTCAGACGTCCCATTATTCAGATGAGGAGAATGTAACGTTACTGTAGGTGTTTACAGTTCTACGACGTTGCGCAAGATCTGCGGCACAAAAACGTTCACGCTGATTTGCCTCAAGGCTTAAAACAATTTTAGGCTTAGATGTGGAAAAATAATACACTCAGACGCTTAATTTAATGACACCATACATTTAAATAGCACCCAGCAATGAGATCTACAGTATTACAATTTTATGAATCCAACTGACAGTTAAAATATCATCAATTAGTATTAGCTGGAACATTAGAACCATAACTTTTACATAAGACCTTGACTTTTATATAAAACCATGACTTTTACATAAGACTGCTTTGACAACTATTCAGGGGTAAGAATGTATGTGAATAAGCTTGTGGCAACATCATGTGGATAAAATGATAATTACAACACTTACAGCTTTATTCTCCAAACCACTTACCCTCTGTAGTCTGCAGGGTCGCGACGCGTGTACATTTTACTACTAATAATACATTTTTATTGTTAATAATACATTTTATTTATTAAAATACTGGGTTACACTTTACTTGAAGGGGTGTGCATAAGACTGACATGACACCTTCATAATCATGACATGACACATGTCATGAATATGAAGGGTTTTTATGCATGTTTATGACAACTGTCATTAAGTGTCATTCACTCAGTTATGTAATTTTTAATGCAAAGATGACATTGTTTGAGATGTCTTTCTTATGGGCTATGGTTAGGGGTAAGGGTAGGAATAAGGTTAGGTCAAATAATGTCATATTTGCATTAAAAATTACATAACTGAGTGAATGACACTTAATGACAGTTGTCATAAACATGCATAAAAACCCTTCATATTCATGACATGTGTCATGTCATGATTATGAAGGTGTCATGTCAGTCTTATGCACACCCCTTCAAGTAAAGTGTTACCAAATACTGTAATAAATATTTGTTAAAATTAGTTAATAAAAATACAACTGTTCATTCATCGTCAGTGTTAGCTCAGGTCCAGCTTTACAACAGATACCATTTTTGACTTTAATAATGCATTAATAAATGCTTGAAATTAACATTAACTAAGATGAATAAATGTTTTAGAAGTATATTTCATAGTTCATGTTAACTACAGTAGTTAACTAATGTTAACAAATACAAACTTATTGTAAAGTGCACCTGATATTAAGACATTGACTTTTACAGTGTTACAGAAAGCTACAGCTTAAAGATTTATGTAAAAAAAAAAAATTAATTAAACGAAACAAAAGTAGACAAATAAACATTCATAAAAACCCACACAATGATTTAATTTACTCGGGCTGTCTTCACAAACACCTTTGTTGTGTCATGCAAATATGTTTGTGAATGACGTTTAATTCCAGATACTACTTTAGAGACTTTAACCCGGAAAAGTTCAACGGCTCAAAAGAACTTGTTCCTTGTTGATTTCACGTTCCCTATTCAAATCGTGCAACTTCTAAATAATTTCCCTCGTTTTAATTAGATCCCAGACCCAAATTCACGTAGTTTAGATATTGTGAGGGTGACCCCACTATTACCTGGAACAAGGTTATCACTTTAATCCAAACTCCAAACTTAAATTTTGAAAACTTAAAACATTTTGTAACATGATATTGATGTACCATTTTCATGGTGAAGTGACGTGACATGTGGCCAAGTATGGTGGCCCTTCTATCGTGCAAGATAGTGCTCTGCATTTATCCCATCCAAAGTGCCCACACACAGCAGTGAACACACACACCGTGAACACACACCCGGAACAGTGGGCAGCCATTTTTTGCTGCGGCGTCCGGGGAGCAGTTGGGGGTTTGGTGCCTGGTGATATTGAAGGTGGAAGAGAGCACTGTACATTCATTCCCCCCCACCTACAATCCCTGCCGGTACGAGACTCGAACCCACAACCTTTGGGTTACGAGTCCGACTCTCTAACCATTAGGCCACAACTTCCCCCTGGTAATGCAATGTTTGATTTTAAAATGAGTTTCAAAGGATGACTTTTGAGATTTAAAGTTTTCAATTGATACATAATGTCTGATGATTTCTAAAGTGTGACAGAGCAAAAGGCAACAACGAAGCCTTTTTTTTGACAAAGGTCAGAACTCCTGTTATGATGTAGATTTTTGAGGTGCACTCTTGTCATAAATTTCCTACATAGATATTTTACCAATGTTTTTGTAAAAAAAAATATTTAGGAGTCGTAGACCTTTCCAACGAAATATAGTTTGTCATGATTTGATTAGGATTTAATTGTAATATAGTGAAGTAAACTTAGGCGTCCCACAGAGGGGACGGGTGACAGTTAAAGGGTTAAATAATAAATATTTAAAAAAATGCACTTTTAATGATGACCAAAACAGGTTTATTCAACTATTTATAGCCAACTGGCTATATCTGCATCTTTCTTAAGAAGTGCAGGAGTTCAGGAGTAGTTTTCAGCCCATTCACGTGCATCATTCCGAGCACAACCGTTTCTTCTCTCACCGACCTACTTCTGTTTAATTGGATAAGCATTCAGTCTCTACCGAGAGAGAGAACGAGCGCGAGACCGGCTGGACCCACACCTGCACGTTCCTCGCTGACGTCACATAATAGAACAACCGTCGCGCTGTTCTGTTATGACGTTATAAAGCGCACTTTGGAAAATGTCCTCGCGACAGCGCCTCATAACATGCCCGGAGTGTCCCACGGCAGCGCAGGCGAACAACAGGTGGATTCCGAGGCCAATCCAGACCTGGAAGTAGCCATACTTCTGTGTCTCTCCGCCCCTATGAGTAACCATAGCAAAGCCACAGTAAAAGCCAGCGTACCGGAAAGAAGCTGAACGACGCGCTCGCGATATGGATCATTTCAGCGGTGACGTGACATTAGGAGCATTACGGACGAGACTGACCACTTACACGGTTCATTCGGAATTATGTCACTGTAACGTTACATCTGATATCGTCTTCTAATACACAGAGGCTGTTTATTTCCGTCCCAAGAGAGTGTTTGTAGACTTTTGGAGTCATGCCTGTCAGTAACGGATCGATGATGGATTTGCCCTCGGGATATGTGAAAGTAAAGGCGCATTACGGAGGGTGAGTGTTGTAAACTTTCACAGGGTTAATGTTTTAAAGTTGTCCAGCTTTGTTGTGGCGTCAAAGGTCGGAATATGCACGGCGTTTGGCAGTTTAATGCAAGCACAACATGCTTGCAAACGCACTCCCACACCTGACAAACTTTGACATCTTGAATGTTTCAATACTTCTTCAACGTAAGATCGATTTTTAAACAGCATATGTAGTATTTTAGAGACGTTGTCAGGTGAGGCAGTTTAAAACAATGCAGTTCACAATATCAGGCATGCCGTAAAACATCCAGGCCTTTTTTAAAATCTCAATTCTTAATATGTTCTTAATCTCTTAAATATGAAATATTGCTAATTATTTTTAAAGGCTCAATCAGTTATAATTATTCAAACGTTTTACATGTAAAGAAAGGATCAATATTCTTGAAAAAAAAAATCTGTGTATATAAAAAAATATAAAGTATGAAGACTCCAAAGCTGTTTTATTTTACTAGGAGTAGGTTGGGATCTTATGAGTGCCACCATATTGACATCACATGACCAGCCATGAAACGCAATCGACTAAGTTGCTGGTATGTTTTTGGTCAGCTAAAAGTAAACAATAACTTACTGAGTGCATCTTTAAATAGGAAATATTGTTGTGGTCTGAAGGTTGTATTCTTATTGCCACTTGTTGCTTAACACACCTCTCCTTTTCTATTGCATATAGTTGGCTGTAGCATACTTTTTTTTAAAAGAGGATTTTTATTAGTATTATAAAAGACAAGTTTCAGTCTTCATAATTCATAAAAATAATCTAGTAGATTACTTATAAAAATACCAAAAGCTTTGTTTTATTTTCTGATGCAACACATGACTTGAATTGACTGGACAGGTTTTGACCCCTACTGTGAATTCTGTCATTATACATTTTTTTTTAAACAACAGTGAATTGTTTCCTACTTGATGATCCTCTTCTGGCTTTAAAATCTAGGCTTTATATTTTGTTTAGATGTCCTTGGCTGAAAGTGGCCATGATGTAAGCAAGATAACAAACACGCACTGTCTGCATACATCACTGTGAATCATTGTTATAAATCAAATCATCACTCATATACGAACAGCATCAGTGCACAGCGGGTGATAAATAACGCCATTCGCCCACCATTTAGTCAACAATGTGAATGATATAGATTCGTTTCGAAACCTGTCTAAGTCGTAATAGCATTCTTAAAGGGAAAGTTCACAAGTTCAACATTTTGTCTTGATTTACTCACCCACCCTCATGTTGTTCCAGACCTGTATGAATTTCTTTCTTCTGCTGAACACAAAAGAAGATATTTTAAAGAGTGTTGATAACCTAATAGTTGCTGGTACCATTGGAAAAAAAAAAATACTGTGATGGCTACCAGCAACTTTTTGGTTACCAACATTCTTCAAAATATCTTCTTTTGTGTTCAACAGATGAAAGATATTCATAAATGTGAGTAAATTATGACAGAATTTCCATTTTTGGGTGAACTTTACCTTTAAGGAATTCACTCAAAAATTAAAATACTTTTATTATTTATAAAAAAATTCTATGACCCAAAAATATAAATTCTGTCATCTAGGGGTGCTCCCATTGATCGGCTACCGATCACTATCGGCCGATAATCGCTTTGGGATGATTGATCGGCAGTCTCTAAAAAGGCCGATCTCAAAAAAACAATCTATCCAATTTTAATTTATATTATTAATTGCTGTGGTCCGGCAGTGCGTTCATGAGCAGTGCGTCTGCAGCAGTGTAGTGATCCACACCGAGTCTATTGCTGTGCTGTAAGCACTGAATTAAAGTAACAGCGCATTTTTTGCAGTAAATATGAACATGGATTGACATGAAAATGTAGTAATTACACCATAAATGCATATTATTAAAGTCTACTGTGTTTCACAGTCAACACATATGGCTTTTTGGCTAGGTTTAAAGGAAAATAGCACTTTTAGATAAACAAGGCGATAATAGATGGCACTTGTGGAGGTAGGAAAACAAAGTTCTTTATGAACCGCAGGATTGGTTGTAATAAAGATTTCAATGCAAAAGGAAAGGCAGTAGAGCTGACTATTTCTGTCAATGGTAAGTTTGTGATAACGTAAGAAAAGTAGTTTAAATGTTTTGCCACTTGCTTGAGCAACTTAATATATATGTCATCTAGGGGTGCTCCCATTGATCGGCTACCGATCACTATCGGCCGATAATCGCTTTGGGATGATTGATCGGCAGAAAAACAATCTATCCAATTTTAATTTATATTATTAATTGCTGTGGTCCGGCAGTGCGTTCAGGAGCAGTGCGTCTACAGCAGTGTAGTGATCCACACCGAGTCTATTGCTGTGCTGTATGCACTGAATTAAAGTAACAGCGCATTTTTTGCAGTAAATATGAACATGGATTGACATGAAAATGTAGTAATTACACCATAAATGCATATTATTAAAGTCTACTGTGTTTCACAGTCAACACATATGGCTTTTTGGCTAGGTTTAAAGGAAAATAGCACTTTTAGATAAACAAGGCGATAATAGATGGCACTTGTGGAGGTAGGAAAACAAAGTTCTTTATGAACCGCAGGATTGGTTGTAATAAAGATTTCAATGCAAAAGGAAAGGCAGTAGAGCTGACTATTTCTGTCAATGGTAAGTTTGTGATA